CTAAATTAAAACGCCAGTAGGTGCCAGTAGTGAGCGTTTAATGAGTGAGTCATTGAGTCGTTCATTCAAACGATTCGTTCAGACGGCAGATGCATCAGATGTTTATGCATGGGCTAATGAAACTTTGACTCAACCGATTCGTTCAAAACACTGAATCAATCAGCAATGAATCTGCTGGTTTCTGTGAGATGCGCTGTTTCTGCCTAAACTGTAAGTGACCTAATATCATTGTATTTGCTTATTGAACTGTTTATAAAACTATTAAACAGTCGTAATAGTGAAAACGTTGTGTGATGTTGTCTAACTAACTGTATTTTAAATATAAAAACTTTCCATTTTGAATGTTTACCTCAGGATGCTGAGTTTCTTAGTGTTGGGCGTTTTGATTTCTCCTGGAGAGGCTGCGGGAGCCTCGCCTCAGCAGCGCAACCTTTCGCTTTGACCGTAGATCCCACCTTCTCACACGCCATGATTGGTCCATTATGTACAATGCTTGCATGTTATTGGTCAAACTACTTTTCGATCATTACTTTCAGCAAGCATGAAAACAAAGCCAAAACAAATCCTGGCCAGGACGCGTCCTGGGATAATGGCACGTATGGTCACCCTAGTTTTGGTGTTTACATAGTTATTTTTGGTTACTGATGTTTTAATCATGTTACTTGTCTGGCGTTAATGTCAAGCCCTGGAGTCTATAAGTGCTGGGGCTCAGCCCCAGACGGCCCCCGGCCCAATTTAAACCCTGGTCTTATGTCGCATGATGCTACAGTGCGCATGAATGGTCCCATAACACGCGCTTTGGGTCTTGAAGTATCTGCATATGATTGAATCTCTACGCAGCTCGCGCGCTACTCTCCACTGGACATGAATGTCTTTCGGTCTGTCATTTGTCTGAGATAGTGGAAAGCCGGCTTGAAACGCAGTGGAAACGCCAGTAAGACGAGGATCGTTTTCATTTTAAAACAAAAGCGCACCAGTGTAAATGTAGCCTTACAGCTAGGGGGGCTGGGACGCATTCACACTAAATCCTCACGTGTGAGCCACATCTCTGAGTGTCACAGCCGCGGACCGACTGTGCAGACCTATCGGTGTGTTAGGCTGTAGTAAGATACCACGAGCAGACTGCTCCGTACGTTTTCGCATCGCTCTCGCGGATGTCAAACACTGATCGATCTGCGCCTCACTGACGCTGATGAGATTAACACCTCAGGTATCGAAATTTGGTACCGAACGACGAGACGTTTTTCGATACTCGATGGTATCGAGGCAATTCGGTCGGTGCCTAAAAAAAAAGATGACTAACTTTTAAGACTAGTCTAAGCAGTTTATGCATCCGGCCACTGATTGTAATAATTCTAAAAAGCTAAAAGCATTGCATGAGCAAGACTGTATATTGCACTGTATAATACCAGTGACTTGATTTTCTCTACATCCTTTACATTCAAGTTTCATTATTTTTTGGTGCATTTTAGCCGATCATACAAGTAATATCATAAAGGAATAATCTCAAATAATAAGTGATGATGCATAAATGTTGATAATGAACTCTTCTTGTCCTGTTGCTTTGTCAGTCTCACTAGTGTTTTAACACTTAAATGTGCACAGTATCTATCAGTATAAGATGTTACATTTTTTACAAATATGAGAACTGATTTAGATTTGTTGGCATAGGTTTTTATTTCTTTTTGGAACTGATTGATTGTAGACCTAGAGCTCATGCAGCTCAGTTTTTGGGTGAAAAAAAAAACATGATTTGCATTATATTAAAAGCATTTTATTTTTTGTCAGTGTTCACTCAAAAACTGAGGTGCATAAGCTCAGATCAATAACGTTTATGCTCAGTCAAATTAATCAAAGAAATACAAATTTAATACAAAACAAGTTGATAAAAAGACAGAATCCAAGATTTGGTAATAATAATACAGAATAATGAGAGATTTATACGTTTGTACGCCGGTCATTTTTGACAAGTGTAATAAGTTGGAGGAAAACGTCCCAAAATATACAAAAGTTATCAAGAATTTTTTAGCAAGTTGTTATATCCTGTGTGAGTTTAGTCTAATGCGATAACTTCGACTAGCATTTTTTGCAGAGCAAGTGATGCAATGCTAAATTTCTCCAAAGCCGACGAAGAAACAAACTCATCTGTATCTCGGATGGCCTGAGGGTGAGAACATTTTCAGCAAATTCTCATTTTTGGCAGAACTATTCCTTTAATTGCAGTTGCATGAATGATCATTAACTAGTTAGTTGATGTGAAGAGACATTGAATGGTTTTTGTGTTTAACAAAGGTCACGAGGTCACTTCCACACAGCGGTTTGGCGGCAGCATGTCAGAGCCTCTCAGGACATTTACTGTGATTTACCACATCTTTACAGTCGGGTAAGAGTCTGTGTTCATGTACTTGTTTTGCCTGGAGATGTTTGTGTGCCTCCCATTGAGTGGCTTCACGCTGGATCCTCCATCTGTTTGTCAGAAAAGGTTCCTGGTGTGTTCCAGAGTAATTGCGATCGTTGATTTGAACGCCATCACTGCAGGACTCGAGCAGGGAAGCTGCTGAGACATCAAATAAACGTGCACATGAGTCCTGGAGCAAATGCATGCGTTTGGGTGTCTGACCAGTGGAAAAACAAGTCTGCATGCAGTTATACAGCTGTGTCGCCCACTGTGACCCTCACTGTGTGATCCGCCGGAATGAGAGCATCTGCAGATGGACACACACCTGTCCCTGAACACTTCCATGTTTCCCTTTAGCGACAAGAAAAATACTGGTTACACTTTATTTTTAGGTGTCCTTGTTACAGTGTAATTACACATTTAAGTACGGAGTAATATTAATTAACTTCATGTACTTACTATATGGTTAGGGTCAGGATTAGGGTTTGGCTTAGAGTTACTTGCATGTAAATATGCATAATTAATTGTTGTTATAATAGTAAGTGCATGTAACCTGTGTAGCAAAGATAACTTAAAATAAAGCTTTACCTAAACACTACTCACTTTGTCTCAGTAACCCCCAGTTATTAGACACTTCTATAGCAGAGTTATTTTAGTTTCATTGATGTACAAATATAGTTTTCATAAATATTTTGAATTTTGAATTGGTATTTTTTGTTTTTCCTTTAGTAATTAAAGTAGTAGATTTAGTCATTTTAGTTTCTTTTAGTAATTTTTGTCAGTTTTAGTAATTTTAGTTTTTCAAATGTCTGTTATGTCTATCTTTTTTATCACTATTTATTTCAGTTCTACTTTCACTTATTTTAGTACTTTAAACTAAATAAAAATGAGAAATGTTTCCTTGGCAACTAGCTGTTATTTCAGCTAGTTCTGAATAATAATTTTGTTTTACTTTTGTGTAATATTATTTATTAATAATAATACTTTTGCTTTAATGTAATTTAATGTTACTTAATAATAATAATAGTTTTATTTTAGTTTAATAATATAATAATAATAATGTTTTTTATTTTATTTAAGTTAACCTTTTTTATCTCAAGTAACAATTAAAAAAATTGGTTTTATTTACGAATAAGAATAATTTAAGAACCTGATTTGTAGAATAAATTAGAGCGTGTGTGTGTGTGTGTGTGTGTGTGTGTGTGTGTGAATATAGTATTTCTATACGCCAGGGACTCCCAAACTTGTAGGCCAAGCCCTTTGAGCTAAAATATTTTGTTTTTCTTAAGTCAATCATTTAACAACACATTTGCATGTTTATGATACTCTGATGTAGACATATTATCACATGACATGCAATTAAACAAATAAAATATTTCACCTTTTTTCGTAAGTGTATTATAAAATTATTTCAATTTAATTGAGCTTTTTTATGATTTAGTTGATTATTAGCTTTTCATCAACTCACAAACCCCATTTTGGGAAACCCTGCTATGTCATCAACAAACAGAAACATTTGGTTTTGCATATCGTTGATGCATATTCATATCAGGGCCATAATATGCACTGCAGACACAGAATGTCAGAAACAGGCCTGAGTTTATTCTGATTTAATAAAGTCATCAAAACGAAACATGCTTTCCACTAGTTATACGACATCCACAGCCTTTGTCAGTTAGTAGATTATTAGAGGAAATCTCCCTAGTAGCTTGAATAAGATGTTTTGTTAAAGGTAAATCAGGTTTGAGGTGTGTGACCTTCATGACCTTTGTCCCCCTGATGGGGTCGTGACACAAGGCTGTTTATTTACTCCAGCAAAAAACACTGGTTTCTGAGGCTTGTGTGAGTGACTGGCCGAGGATGCTGGGAAATATGTAAATGAATGAAGGTTAGTGAGGACAAATTCTAGCCTGAACATCTGGCATATGTTAGATGGTGACAGTCACTGAAGTTCATAACACGTCAGTCACATCGTGCTTGATTTACATGCATCCTACGGTCTCGATGGTCACGTGCATTAGATATTGTGCACTTAAGACAATATTTCAAGTTTAAGATTAGGATGAGTTTGTTTCTTTGGAGAAATGTAGCACTGCATCAGTGTCTCAGCAATGGATGCTCTGCAGTGAATGGGTGCCGTCAGAATGAGAGCTGATAAAAACATCACAATAATCCACAGCACTCCAGTCCATCAGTGAACATCTGGAGAAGACAAAAGCTGAAACACATCCAGCATTAAGATGTTTTTAACTCAAATACATAGTCTATAATCCATAATAGTAATTCAAAGCGCTTATAAATCACACAGAATGGAGTGTATTGAAAATC